ATCAGATAAAAAGTGTGAACATTAAAGCGACCACAAAATGAAATGAAATGAAATGGGGTTTAACGTCCTACTGTTCTGCTCCGAACTGGGTTAATGAAGACTGGCATACGCCATACAGTGTGCTATGAGGGAAATTTTGCCCGGACAGCGGCACTATGGCCTACTCTTATATCGAATTCCAACTGTCAAGGGATCTTTTACGTGCACGCCAATGTGTACATGGGACCTTGGTTTTTCGTCCCATCCGAATGACTAGACAGCTGTCCTTGTCAGGCCCTCCTTCCTGCATCACTGACAAGGGGAACCACGCCGGAAAGTCGCGATGAACTTTCTCGGCCAATGCAGGGATCGAACACCCGACCTCCAGGCTAGCGAGCCAGCGTCTTACCTACTTAGCCACCGTGATCCCCTGAGCGACCACAATCTAAAAACACGATTTTTCATACAATCAAGGGCCATAATGCAGAAAGTTAAGATCGGATATGCACGAATATCAAAAGGAACCAAGATCTTTGGGTTATAAACAGACATTTCAAGTTTTATCAAAATCGGATCCAAATTGTGTCCCCCAGAGGGTCCACAACCTTGATATACCATATACATGTATTAATACACTATTTGCGTAAAGGGGTGGCCACTTTGTTACGACGTGATATGCACAAATAGCGAAAGGAGCCGAGACCTTTGGGACATAAACATATATTTTAAGTTTCATCAAAATCTGATAAAAATTGTGACATCTAAAGGGTCCACAACCTTGGTTTTACATACTTTAACATTATTTGCATACAGGGAGAGGTAATTTTTTTGGGTAGTTTCGATCTAATTTTTCCGAAATTCAAACTCAACTGTCATTATGGTGTAATGGTGGTATTATATACTATTCAAAAAAAGTAGGGGATATTTGATTTTTAAGTGTTATTAAAGTCACCTAATGAAACAGACGAAGAAACAAATGACAAAATGAAATGAAGTTCACATTCATCGATTTATTCCAAATGATCGTTAGACTAAGTAAGGCACAGACTGACCATTATAAGGGTAAAATGATACCCGGGGTCAAACAGCAAAGTTACCACAGCATCACAACCAAGTCAGTAACGGGTAAATCCTCCTCTGTTTGCCAAACAAGCATTGATCCGACGTGGCATACTCCTAATGAGACGTCTAAGGTCATTTTGGTCCAGATTGTCCCATTCCTGTTGCAACGCAGCAGCAAGTTCTTGGACATTGGCAGGACGTTGTTGACGTTGACGTAACCTCTGTCCAAGCATGTCCCAGACATGCTCGATGGGGGAGAGGTCGGGACTCAGTGCTGGCCAAGGTAAAGTGGTGATGTTCTCTTGTTGGAGGTAACCTGTAACGATCCTGGCCCTGTGACATCTTGCGTTGTCATCCTGGAAGATGAAACGGCGGCCATGACGTCGTGCGAACGGCACAACATGGACTGCCAAGATGTTGTCCCGGTAGTACTGGCCTGTAACACGCCCTGCAACAACATGTAAAGCCGTTCTTCCAGCAACAGTGATGCCTCCCCACACCATAACAGAACCACCCCCAAATCGATCATGTCTGATGACGTTAACGTCTTGGAAGCGCTCGTTTCGACAACGCCACACCCTCCTACGTCTGTCAAAAAAATCAACAGTGAACCATGACTCATCTGAAAACATCACATTGCTCCAGCGTCGATTATCCCAGTGTTGACGATCCCTACACCAACGACGTCTTGCCTGAATGTGATGATCTCTCAAACAAGGGATCACGCGAGGACGTCGGGCGCGAAGGTGACCCCTATGCAGTCGATTCCGAATCGTCTGGCCACTCACTCTCACACCAGTGTCTGTTTGAAGACGAGCGCTGATCTGATTTGCTGTGATGACACGATTTCTCAAGGCCAAGGTACGGATAAATCGATCCTGGGCTTGAGTTGTCGCCCTTGGTCGACCTGAGCGTGGTCTGTCCTGTACAGATTGTGTATCACGGTATCTGGACCATAGCCTGCTTATGACAGACTGAGAAACATTCATCGTCCGCGCCACAACCGCCTGTGTTGTGCCGATCTGTAGCATGCCAAGGGCACGTAACCTTTCATTTTGGGTAAGCCGACGCATATCAAAATTTGTTTTCTGGTCACTAAAACAATTAAACTGATGTTTCCACCCTGGAATTCAATGCCACAATGACTGTAACATTCAAAGTCAGAGTCGTGCAAATCTTGGGTTGGACCCCCATGATGATCCCAAGCATCACCTGCATTCCATGCGGTAGCTATTGGTGCGTTTGGGCGGCACATGTAACTGGAAATGTTTCTTCTGTTAGGTTCTATAGTGACTTTTTTCGTAGTCATTTGCATATTTTAGTATTATGCCCCCAAAATCAAATATCCCCTACTTTTTTTGAATAGTATATATAAATGGTTTTTAAAATCGGATAAAAATTGTGACCTCTGGAGGATCCACAATCTAAAAACGTGATTTTTCGTACAATCAGGGGCCATAATCCAGGAAGTTACGGTGTGATATGTGCAAATAGCAAAAGAAACCAAGATCTTTGGGACATAATCATATATTTTAAAGGTCACCGGAAAAGCTTCATAATTTTTTTAAATAATGCAGATATTTTTGTCAAAAATCTTTTCCATACGTATAGCACGATCCCAAATGTGAATGTTACCTGCCACAGGTAAATTGCAGCAGGTAGATTTCCGCTGCTCTCCTAGTGTAGTTATAACTTTCTGTTAATAATAAGCTGTGACGTCATTTTAGTCCTTCTGCTCATATTCTAGTCTTACACAAGTCCTCATATTTCTCGGAGTAGAAGGACTAAAATGATGTCACGGTTTGTCTACTGGCGGTAAGTTACGAATTCTCACGGAGAACAGCGGAAATCACTAACGCTGAAATTTACCTGTGGCAGGTAACACTGACATTCGGGATCGTGTTATACTTGTGGAAAGGATATGTTGACATAATTACTTGCATTATTTAAAATAGGTTGCCAGGCAACAAAACATGCCCTCAGCAGCTAAATTGTCCAAGGAGTCAACAAGGGTTGTCGCAATTATTTTCTTTTGTTAGAAATGAAAACATTCACAACACACCCTATACAAACATTTAGCATACACAATATTTAATAACAATTTCCATAATCATTGTCATGACCTTAAACACTATGTGTAAAAATTTTAAGTCAATCAGATATTAACTTTAGCCTCTCGAGCATCCACAAGATATTTTAAAGTGATCAAGGGCCATAACTCTGGTAGTAATTATCGGAAATCGTTGAAAATCAACAGGATTCTTTGTCTTATGACCTTAACCACTGTGTATACATTTAAAGTCAATTAGTTATAAACTTTAGACTCCCAGGGATCTTAATTGGCTGTTTTTTGTGGTAATTACATACAGTAAAATATGATATTCCTCAGAAATTACCAAGAATTATTTTTGTTGAATTCTGGTTATATTAAAGGGAATGGAAGCTTAAAATTTTATAACCCAGTTCCTACCAGGACCATAACTCTGGCAGTAGTTATCAAAAATTGTTGAAAATGAATAGGCTTCTTTGTCTCATGACCTTAAACACTGTGTATATATTTAATACCAATTTCCATAATCATTAAGAATCGTTGAAAATTGAAAAGATTCTTCATCTCATGACCTTAAAAATTTTAAGTCAATTGGTTATTATCTTTAGCCTCTAGAGCCTTCACAAGATATTTCAAAGTGATCAAGGCCCAGAACTATGGCAGTAATTTTCTGAAATCGTTGAAAATCAATAGGCTTCTTCGTCTTATGATCTTAAAGATACATTATGGGAGATTTTAATAGAGAGTTGGCCATTCTTGCTATAACAGTTCAAAAATAGATGATGAAAGAAGAATATATTGAAAATTTCAGTCAAATTACTTTATTCTGAACAAAGTTATCACTGCTGTAACTTTTGACTAGAAATAGGAGTCAAATCTCTCTTCACCGTCTCCGATCATTTGATTGACAGGCGTTAACTCCACCTACATAATCTCGATTATCAAGTAACGTTTTCAATGGCTGTGGTTTGAAACGGGGTTGCAATTCAATTGGTATCACATTTATTTTTACTACAAATTAAAAATAAGACTTTTAATATATAGATAAGAAGCGAAAGTTTGAAAGGAATGGACCAAATCAATGAGGCATAATTATAGCCGACTTCTTGTTAGCCTGCATGTACTCTTGGACTGTAACTGGTAGGTCTACGTAACTCACGAACAGTGATCCAATGGAGCTGCAATTCAACTGGGGTGATGTTAGCTATAATTTTTCTGTAAACGCAAGTGACAAAAGAGTGTATAATACCGACATCCAAACTCATTTTAACAACAACTAAACATAATATCAAGGCCGTATATATCGAACTTTAATCAAATTGACTGACATGCGGCCTCGCTCAACAGCGGCCTCGCTTCGTACAATCTATCATTTAGCCTCGATCTAAAATTATTTCCGGGAGTATGAATTCAACGTAACGGTTAATCTCCGCTCACGACGCCATTTAAAAATTTAATCAATCAACGAAATCCCGTTTAAATCCAAGCCGAATCCAAGCCATCCGTGGGTCTACAGAGTTGATTTTGTGCTTGTTGTGTAAATAAAGATCTAATTTATAATTTCTATGACATCTGAAGCCTAAGTAAAGATTTGCAATAATCAGATTTAGCTCTTTCATAATGTATGTTTAAACAATGTGAATAAATCTAAAGTCAATAGGATGTTAACTTTAGCCTCTAGAGTGTACACAAGATATTTCTACGTGATCACGAATCAACAGATTCTTCGTTTCATAACCTTAAACACTATGTAGAAATTTAAGGTCAATTGGATATTAACTTTAGCCTCGAGAGCGTCCACAAGCAAAAACACAGGTGAATCATGTTTTCTGCTCCAATTGACTTTTTTTTTTAAATTGTCAGGAAATGTAAAGGAAATGAAAGTACCTTGAATCTTTCTAATACTTACTGGTATTTTGATGCTGGTTGAATTTGTAGCAGATTCATCGAGACTTTGTTTTTGAAGTTTTTCTGTTATTAACGCTAGCATGTTAATAGCACACAAAAGTGGCCCTGCCAAGAACCACCAGTGGAGAGACAATAAGTTCAGAATGCGGCCATTATGATGTAGTCCCCCATCTTCTGGACTTACTTCTACTGCCACCTGTCTCATTGAGGTTTGGGGAGGCAACTCATTATACCATTAAAATCAATCATCTTCGTGTGCTTTTTACTGAAAAAAAAAAGAAGATTCTGATTAAAATATTAGTAATCAATCACTTGTTTTCATCTGATGACATTAATGTATGCAGTCAGTAAGACAATCAACAAGTTTTTGCAATGTAGACTTTGTTGAGTATTTCTGTCAAATATTTTCACATATTTAGGGCTAATCTTGAGATTACAACTTTCACATGATGTTTCTATTACAATGTAATACCTCTTCCATTTCTTGGTTTCGAAATCTGATTCCATTTTCTAATTCTTCTAGCAAGACTTTAAGAAGTATTGGCTGATCATTACCAAATAGGTCAGTCCATAGTTGGCATAAGAACTAAGAAGTTACAAGTCATGTGATTGGCACAAAGTTCCTACAGACTACAGTTGACTCCCATAAAATGTTGCCAGACAGTATTTTTGGTAGAAAGAATTCAATAATTAGGATGAGCTATAGAAAGAAACTTGGCATAACAAAACAAATAATGTAAACTGTCTTAATGGTTGAAATAGAATGTCAATCCTTACCACCTTTTGTCTAAAAGTGGGAGTAGCCCCAAAAAGTATTTGGTAAATGATAAGATAGCTTGACAGGCAACAAAACATACACCTACTACAGGTAAGTCATCTGAGCTGTCAACAAAGATTTTGCATATTTATACTTTTGTGGGTAACACGAGCATACACAACACTAAAAAATATAACGACCAAGAGTAACAAAACATGAAGTTATCTCAGGAATGATTAAATATTTGATTGGCTTCTTGGTTAACAAATCTCAAACAAAAAATATACAGGTAATCAGCGAAGTCTAGCTGTTCAAGTTATCGAAAATCAAGTCAGTTGGATAACTTTTCAGTCTAGAGTTTCCACAAGGATTTGCAGAGAGGGGGGCTACGACAAAAAATAACCACAATTTTAAAATACTGGTATGTATAATTTCTAATAACAATTTTAAACTAGATTCTTTTCACAGCATTCTTCAACATTCACACATGTGCTTTTCTTATGTTTAATATTTCTAGACAAATTGCTAATGAGAAGAAAATAAAATTCTTGAAATTCTTATATATTTGTTTACAAAATAATATTAGTATATATTAGTCATAATGTAATATACATGTAGTGTAATCTGGGGAGAATCTGTTAGTCTGAAACCACACTTGTCAGTTGGTCAATGCAGTTTGTATGAACGCAGATAAGACATTTTTCCTCAAAGAATACATTCAAAACACAAATACTTTGTGTCGAGTGGACATTAAACCCCATTTCTCTCTCTCTCTTTCCAAATATGTTTTTACACATAAAAACTAAAAATTTAACTGGAACTCCTGTCTTTTTAAAGGATAAATTCTTTGAAATACCTGATCTTATTGCAAGTAAATTGACTTACATGTAACAGTCCGTCAAGATTGATTATGTATGACCTAATCGAGAACACTGTTTCTAAAGTGTTTCAATCAGAATCTAAACATTGGGATGAGAATATTAACATTAAAATTTAAACATACACTATGCAAGAGCTAAATCTGTCTATTGCAGGTCTTTCTTTAGGCCTGAAATGTTATCTAAATTATTAATTAGACATTAATTAAATCATCCAGACCATAATCAACTCTAGATGGCATCACTAGCCTGCATCTTAAGTGGATTGTGAGCCGATTTACTGAATAACTTTCCTTCTCGATTTAACAATTAAATGGATTATCAAGACTATGCTGTTTATCGTACTGACTTTAGTAATGACGACCGGGGCTAGGCAGAAATTTCATTCGCTTAGTTCTCGGTTCATAGTGGATCAATTTGAATGAAATTTTCAGCAAATTGCCTTTACGTTATCTAGTTTTTAACTATTATAGTGAGAACTGCCAACTCGTTATCGAATCTACCATAATGTATCTTTAAGGAAAATGTTTATTGGGGCTACTCCAACTCATAACACTTTTAAAAAGAGCATAAACATAGACTGGGGGTTTTCTGTCAGGTCCATCTTTTACCACCCACCAGCATCAAAGACATTCTTACTAGTAGTAAGTTCCTCAGTCACCTTGTCAGTAGTGAAGGAAAAACAAAGTGATAAAGTTGACAATAACATTAACATACATCCACATTAAATATGAGCATATAAAAATGTTCTAGACAACTACTGAACTGATTTACCGATTTAAAATTTAAATTCTATAAACAAAATGGAGTAGAACCAGATTCCATTATATCAAAATAAATAAATAAACAAAAGATACTATTTCCGCTTTCAGTTTATTTTTGTCAATAAATATTATTGTTATTTTTTCCTTTTTAACTAACTAGTTCAGCAAGAAATTCCAGTCATATAGATTTGATTACAAATCTGGCGGAGAACTCCACGACGTGTATAATAGGATGTGTAATTTAAAGTCTCCTAGACAGTTGGAAATCTATAATCACGTCTGCCAACTGCCAAATAATTCTCCCATCATTGCACTCCTAACAAATATAACCATATTTTTGGCTCAAAAAGCGTGAGAAAGCTTACATACAAGTCTTGATGAGCCATAACACATTTTCATTTCATTTCTCCACTGATACACACAAGAATTTTTTATGGGCTTAAATGAGATAATATGTGTAATAAAAAACATCAGCTACAGTTTAAAAGGTTACTTTACCTGTCTACTAGAAATAAAATATCAAAATCCAATATTAGCACTAAACGTTTTTCAATAAGTTTTTGTTGCCAGACTCTATAAAAATTCAGATCAATAATGAGTAAAGGTAGTTCGCGGTCTCAGTCGTTCCTTAGGTATGTTGGCACCAGTCCAATAAAACTGCCACCACTAGCAGTCTATATTACCTAGTAGTAGTAGATATGTATATAGTACATGCTTCTTGATGTATACAAGTATGTAGACTATACATGTAACACCTACACAAATCAAACATCCAACTTTTATTTATACTTTTTTTTTAAATCTTTAGGAAATATAATTTATGACAATACAATATTCAATGGGTTCCCGACACAAAAGTTTATTATGCTCTGACAGGGTATCTTTCAATCTATATCTTAAAAATTGACAAAGCTTCAAAGAACACAATTTTGATACAGATGAAAAAAATTACTTTTTTATACGCCCACACAAGAGTTTGGGTGTGTATATATATTTGTCACCCTGTACGTCAGATAGTCTGTACGTCTGTCCATCCGTACGTCAATTGTTTCTGCGACCTTCCGTACAAAGATTTATGCTCTTTTTTCCAAAAAGCTTGTTCGGAAATGAACACAATAAAAGATTCTACTTTAATTTATGTTAAAAAATCTGGTCCAAATATGAACGCTTTAAAATTTACATTGATTTCATACTTTCATCTTAATATACCAGTTGTATCTTAAGTCTATACTTTTCTTTTACCGTACATGCCAGCCTATTCTTCATGATGGTGTTGATGTGTTTTTATCACATAACCATTATCTTTAGTTAATATACTTATAAAATGTACACTTGTAGGCATAGGAAATGACTCTACTGTGTTCTTTTTGGAATTGTAAAACACATTTCCATAGCCCAATTTCAATTCTTCTTACTGTATTATTCCAATTCTAGTAAGTATTTGGCTAATACACAACTTTACAAATAAAATGTTATGACAGAGACAAACCCAGAATGAATTCTGTGTGAAAGGATGAGAGATACTCTGGTTTATTGTGGGCGTATAAAAATTCTCCATGCCCATAACCAAAGCCTACAACTAATAGATGATATTTTTAATTACTGAAATCTGATCACTTTTGATCCCAGTGTTTTCTACTGTAATACTGCCTGGGAGTCTAGAAACATTTTTACATACAATGCTAGACTTTTACTCAAATTACATTTAAATTATCTAATTCATGTTTCTTTAATTTACACTTTAGAAAACATAGAAGTTGACCTTTCTTCTGTTTAACATAATCTATAATCACACAGCTAACTATTCCTAAAGAATTCTTTTCAATATTTAAGGTGTTGAATAAGATACAAATAAAACTCATTTGAATCAAGACAAACCATCTTAACAGTACAACAAGATTATGGCTATTTATATTTATTTCATATTTTAGAATCCGGACTGTATGGAATCAAACAGTATTCAACCAATCAAATTGCAAGATTACTGAAACAAGATTTAATACCCACCAGCAGCAAAATCATCCAGGATTGATATGTCTAAAATCAATGTCAACAAATTAGGTAGACCTAGTTTCAAAAGATAGGTTTCCAGACAATAAATAAAAACAGCCAATAGTCATCTCTGCAGTTCATGCAAGTTAAGAATTCAAGAAGAACGTTCACAAGATTATACAGTTGCAAATTACTACTTGATAGCCTTCTAAGACTTCTTTGTCCCACTAATCTGAAAGATGCACATTACAAGCAGATCATTTGATAACCTTGATAATATTCTATATTGGGGCCATAGTGAAGTTGTACACAGTGCTATATTTCTATACATTTCTGAGAACATAATATTAAAGATACATTATGGGAAATTTGATAAAGAGCTGGCAGTTCTCACTATAATAGTTAAAAACTAGATAATGTTAAGGAAATTTCATGAAAATTTCTGTCAAATTGATCCATTCTGAACCGAGAATTTAACGATTGAATTTTGGACCTAGCCTCGATCGTCATTACTAAATTCGGTACGATAAAAAAACATAGTCTCAATTATCTATTTTTTGATTTAATCATGAATGATCGTTAAGCAGCAGATCGGATACTATTTCAGTAAATATCACAGGCTAGCGATGGCATTGAGAGTTGATTATGGTCTGGATCAGTTAATTTTAGTTAACATTTCAGGCCTAAAGAAAGACTTGCAATAGGCAGATTTAGCTTTTGCATAATGTAGGTTTAAACATTACTATGCACTGTACAATATCATAAACCTATAATTAGTGGGTTTGAAAATTAGAGTATAGTTATAGTTACTAGTAATCATAACCATATCAATACTGTATTTAAAAGTTAAAATAAGTTTTAATTTTAGATGAATTTTCTAACCACATTAATTTTTCAAAGTGAAGTATATTAAAGTCCCACTTCCAGTTTGAGTTTTAAAAATCCAGATATTATTCTTGATTAATGGCTATTATTCCCAAATCTTAGCTAAATATCTACAGTATTAATTCTTTGAAATTCTGACCAAGAACACGGACAAAGAATGGATCTTTAATTCCGGAAACCACCTAAATCTCCCACTAAGCATAAATTGCATGACCTGGTAGATAAGAGCAAGAAATAATGCTGAGAAGGTTCTCTACATAAATCTTATTTTGTCTAGTTAGTTGCTAGAGATTATTTCATGCAGATTTACTATAAGGGGATCCCTACATGTATATATATATATATATCACCAAGATATCCAGACAGCTTTCTTCCACTTGAGAATACAAAAATATAAGATTATGTTTCAATTATCTTTTTGTTCTTAGGAAATTGTTTTTTGTGTGTAAAATTAGCACAGAATTATGAAATGAAATGCGGTTTAACATCCTACTGTTCTGCTCCTTTACTGGGCTATTGAAGACATATGAAATAAAATGGGCAAGAGAGCGATAAATCTCCCTGGAAAAGAGCTATTTGCCCTTCAATACCTGTTAATATGGTTAAAACTTGTATTTTAAAGTAAGTTGACAAAAAATAGTAATTTGTACAGTGGGAATGGAGATCCAGCCCCTTATCTCCCTCCTTGGATCCACTTATGAGAACATAAATGTCAAGAAAGGAATTGGATTGTCAACACATTTCTTCAACCGTGTTGAAACTAACACCCTTTTCCAACTACTCTTCACCAATATTCAACTGTCAAGGATCCACCAGTGTACTCATTGGCCTACACATATAAAAACCCTTGACAGTTTGAATGTGACGATAGGGTGGAAACATTGATGTCCAGGTAAACTCTCCCTTCAAAGCACATTGTATGAAATAAAATGAAGTGGGGTTTAACATCCTACTGTTCTGCTCTGACTGGGATAATGAAGACAGGCATACAATTAGTTGATGCAGAACAGTAGAACATAAGACCACATCATTTCATTTCATCATCTTAACCTTTCGGAAACTCTATATTTCTCAGTCACGCATGCTCCATGTTTTTAAATAAAGGTACCTTTAAATGCGTACCACCTACCTGTTAATTAATAATATTGCGCTAATTGTGATGGGTGAGTGGAATTCAGTGTGGGATCTTTATGCTAACTGTCAATTCACAAACAACCAAAGAAAGCAGGTTTAACTATTTTTTGCCCAAGTTTTGAATAACCCTTGCTGACTAGTGACTATAAATAATGTATTACCCCATATTAAAGATGGCTTAAATAAACAAGTTGATAGAAATAAAAGCACCTATTGACCGTATATAATAATAGCAATTAATGGTTATAAAATAATAATAAGTTTTACATTCTTTACACAGTCATGTGTTAAGCTTAAAGTAGCTCTACCAGATATCATTATAGTATAGTTAATTCTGTGTCAAAGAAACCATTGTCCCAGTAAGGTCACAGGACTCCTGTGTACTGTAACTATACCAAGCCTTGTGATACTTTTTAAAGGAAATACTAACTTTCAATTTTCCAAGTGAGATTGGCACAAGTCCCAAAAGTCAGCATACCGGTACTTGATAATGAAATGAGATTGCAATTATCAAGTCACTCACAACTAAACAATGAAATTGCATAAATGAGTTACATAACCCTGAAGCAAAACCAGCAATCATTTCCGAAGTACTTAATATTTTAGACAAAGTAAATAGGCATTTCTTCATCCACTTTACTTGCGGTGCCCAGTGAATTCTGTGACTCTCATTATCACTAACTGAGGTTACCTGACATTCCAAACTATTTAAGTTCTTAACACAGAGAATTATAAATATGACTCGCTTGTTCCTACCAATATGAATAAATTCCATTAAAAACAGATTTAAGAGAATAAACTCCCTTGAGAGGTCATTTCTAATCTGAAATATATTGGGTTTACTTTTCTTTTCTCCAGACTAAGTTAAAATATTCAGAAGCATTTATAATCTACTTATTAATGTGTGCATTTTGTGTATAAAATAAGGTAAAAGGCTCCATGTATGGAGACTTTACTTTTTCATCTTATTTACACACTAAAATTACAAGCCTCATGTTCTTTTAACAGTTCGACAATATTGTAGATTATAATCTATTGTGTAGAATAGTGTCAATTGCTCTGATTAGGGTTTCACACTACATAGCTTGTGTGAAACACTATTGTTTTTGTTCGGATTATTCTTATTAAGCTTTCATATTACATATGAAAGCTTATTGTTTCTGTTAAGATTATTATTGTTATTTTTTTTTTGTGTTTTGTCCACAAATCGGATTTCTCAGAATCTAACCATAGGATCGTTCTGAAACTTTTACCTATCCCCCCAAAAATGGGTGGTGGCTGTTGATTAAATATATTTTCAAAACGTTTTACGAATCCGAAATCACCGAATTTTACGAAGGAATGCATTTGACCTACAATGCTGTAACTCTGTGACTATTTGACCTATTTTACTAATTCTTTTTTCTTTGAGTATCTTGAAACATTTACTTCAAATCTGCAATTTCGGATTTTGGCATTTCGAAAATTCGTCGCTGTCATTTCGAACCGGAAGTTATTACCAATTTGACAACTTCTTTAATAGTTGTGCGATTTTCGTGAAATTTAGAATGTTAGTAGATCTTGCCAATGCGACTTCAATGATGTCCTTGGAAATTTTCTAAATT